GTAATGCTCGAACTGGTATTTGCTTCAGGCAAAGTACTTGGTGGATGAAGTAACGGACAAGTGTTGAAAAGATATTGACGTTAGTTCGTGGCACATTGAGTCTGATAAAAACCTTCCTCGCCAACATAACGGATACATAATTCAAATTTTGATGTGTTATTGATAACGTAAAATGATATTTATCTTATTTTATCAAAACCTCCTTTTTAGAATCACCCAAAACTTCTTTGGTTATCTGAGTTAGGGATAGATCCAGTTTGTATCTTAACATGAGTTATGTTTAGAAAATTTCTTCTATAAAGGAGAGGCAAGTGGCTAAGCGAATAGGGGAGCTAGTGAAGTTCAGTAGAGTTCACCATAAAAAATTGTTTCTCGTAGTTTGCTTCTGTGATTATCAATCGCAACTGCATCTATAACAGCTCTCTGTTAAAGCACTTTGTTTTCGTGTTGTTAGAGATCTGACACTCCACGAAAACATATATATATTCTTGCAAAAATATTTTGGCTATATATTCACAGGTTCGACTGTGGAATGTTTATGCTTAAATACATCGATTTTTACATTAGAGGACTGAGTCTAGATTTCTACGAGGTAATTAAAATTTTCAAGATTAGCATTTGCTTCTGATTCCATATCAATACTGTATCTGAAATCGACAAATACTCAGACAACTAAATCCTATCCGGGTCAAACCAGAATAACATCAACTCCGCATGATTGCTTAGCATTCCTTTTAGAGCACATGAAAATTGTGAATTGAATAGCAATAGAATTAATAGGAAGTGATGAAGCATGTGTTACTTAAGTCTGATTAGTAAAACATGTTTCTCTTTTTGTCTGAATTCTATCTTTTGCAGGAGGACATGCCATACTTCAGGTTAAGAACAGCAAAGGAGATACTGAGACTGCAAGCTGACTAATATTATGGGTCCTTAGTGATATTAGAATAGATACTATTTAACAAAGTCAACAAGTGATTAAGTAAGCTTCTCAGTACAATCAAATTTGATTTGGCTTTGGAGAATGCTAGAAAATCTCATGGTCGTGGCTGTTACTGGAAATATTGGTTCGATTTTTTGCAAATAGAAACGACGACGATTAGCTTATTATCAATGGTTTAATAAAAGAGAAATTCAAGGATACCGGTTTGCTTGAACATTTGAACAGGGTAAATGACTAGTTCTTGTTCCGAGAAATGACTGATCTTTTATGCTTTGTTTATAGCAGAAGTTTGCTCCTCATATTAGTTTGATTCTAAAATGTAATAAATTTATATATTGGAAGAATAAATCTTGCTTTTGTTTTGTTACCCAAAATGTATTGTTTCTATGACCAATGACCAGTCTCTTAGACTTAGCTAGTATGTAGCTAGTATATAGTAGGCTTGCGCTCCGTTTAAGATTAGAATAAATCTATGTTGTTTGTAGTGTATCCAAGCAAGAGCAAAGTGTGTCATTTTTTCAAAAAAAAAAATGTGAAAAAAAACGAAAAAGTAAATTCCGCTGCCGAGTTTCGAACCTAAATATTTAACATAAAAACTCGTGTAAGCACTTTAACTCATGAGTTTCTAGTGATTCTGTCTTGTGCTTTTTGTTTCTTAGTATTACAGAGGAAGCACTTTTTAGCTGATTTTTCCTTTTGACAACAACAGTGGAGAAACGCAAACAGAAACAAATTCTGATAACTTTGTGTCTTTCCTTTGTAATCATATAAAATTGAATCCGAATGTTTCGACTAAAGTATTAATACAAGCAATCATAAAATATATCTTGTTATAAACAAGACGATACAATTT